GGGAGTCACTGCCAGAAGATGCAGTATCACACTCCTGCAGGAGACAGGAGCAAGCCCTGTGCACACCACTTCATCCCTCGGAGCTAACTCACACAACTCAAGACTTAACCTCTTGCTGGCCAAAGAGACAGTCACACTAAACCTTCCCTTGAGCTCAGCTCACCACGTCCTTCTCAGTAGCAAGAAATACTTCATAGTTTTTGAACTTGGCAATGAGAATAATATCTTGCAGGAGGGAAGGAAGATACTGGTTGATCTTTTTGCTACAGTGCTATATATTACCAATAGAGGCTATTTGTGGGAAAATTACAACTAATGAGCACTAGTGCAGTCACTTTTGAACCAGAAACAAGGGGAACTCTTCAGTTCTGTTGTTTCTTTCTAATTTATGTTTTATAATGCTCCACATTCTGGACTTTGCTCTGGACAAAACTTATTACAACCCTGTGACGTACCACAGGCTGGGAGCATAATGATTTGCTCCTTAAATGTTGCTCCAAAGTCAGCAAATCATTGCGGGAGTAATAAAGGAGAAGGCTGGGAGCAGAGATTTGTTGGCACAACAGCTTTTCCAGGAGCTAGGAAATGTGATTTCAGAACAGAAATCACTTGTTCTTCATTGTTTGACCCACTGAAAACATCCCAACGTCCCACTTGCTTTTCTCTTTGTATTTCTCTTCACTGGTCTTTCGGCATCTTCAGAAGAAACAGGACAAGCACCCAGCAGAAATCCACCTTGACTTTGCTACTCAGGGAGGTGAGTTTTTCAGCAGCACCTTTTAATGCCAGTGGTGTTTTTAGGTGAAAGTATGAATCACCTGGAATATGTAAGAATTCCTGCTTAGGTACCACAGGCTTGGGAGCATAATGATTTGTTCCTTAAATGTTACTGCAAATGTCAGGAAATCCTTGCTGGAGTAGGAAAGGAGAGGGCTAGGAGGAGAGAGTTGTTGGCACAGCACTAAATGGAAAACTTGGTGACGTTTCCTACTGTTCCAAGTTTTGTAAAGTGCAGTTTTAAAAGGAAATGGAGAGAGTTGTTGTTACCTCGGGTGGTTTTGTAGTTTTCTAATGTTTATTTCACATGTCTGGACACAAAGGGACAACTTTGGCAGTGGTCAGGGTGTAGTAACCCTTAGTGGGTTAGCCCTTAGTTACTACTTAAGGGAGCCCAAGGTGAGGGCTGCAGATGATGAGAATCATACAATGCCAGACTGATTCGTGTTGGAAGGGACCTTAAAGCTCATCCAGGGACACCTTCCACTAGAGCAGGTTGCTCCAAGCCCCTGTGTCCAACCTGGCCTTGAACCCTGCCAGGGATGGGGAAGCCACAGCTCAACCTCAGTGCTAGGGTTTTCCTTTCTTGTTTTCCCCACCCTTGTAGGAACCTCCCCACTTCAGACACGGGCTCCTTTCGTCAGGGCAGGTGGAAAGTTGCTAACAGGATTTCACAGCTCTGACAGATGACGCGTGTCCATGCACAGTGTAATTGCATAAACCTCATCTCCTTCAGAAGGCAACAGAAAGCAGAGGGTTTGTGTAGCCTTGAATGACCTTTACAGAGGCTCCTGAACCAGTGACTCAGCTTGGCCATGGGCAGCGAGGGCTGCTGGCTCCTGGCCTGTCTATTTCAGCAGATTGCAGGAGCAGGTTGAATTTCTTGGCCAAGTGTGTGCTAAGGGAGCGCTCACCAACATCCTTCTTTCAGAACATGCCTGAAGAATGAAGAGGTCCATGTGTAGCCCTGGACAGCACTCTTCTGACAAGGCTCTTTGCATCTGGATGGCTGCTGCTCATGTATTCCTCCTGGCAGGTACAGTAATCCCCCTCAGGATTAACCACAGGGGTGTCTGCTGGTGTCCTGCTTTGTGCACACACGGTGTATCTGTGTATGAGCCCACTTTCCCCTTGTTCTACCCCAGTGAAGCAGTTACTCTTGTTCTTGACCTCTCCCTTCTCACTGCAACTGGTACTGGGGTTCTTGTCTGTACCTGGGCATATGTTGGCCTGCAGACCCATGTGTCTGGGCATGATGCACACCCTCTCCTGGGGTGCTGGTCCAGTTGGGGCTGCAGATGAGTCAGTAGAGATGAGAAAACTTGGCAACAAGTGAAATGTCAGGTTTTGGTTGCATTGCAGATGTTGTCCACGTGTGGAGGTGAAAACCTCTTGGCTTTGTCATTATTCCCTTCTTTCCTTCCTGGGTGTCTTCCTGCATTTCTGTTCGGTTTCTTCTAGTTAGACTTTGGCTACTGTGAAATAAGAGCTGTGCATTTACTCATTTCGTGGTGTTCTGGGAAAAGCACAGAGCTACTGTCAGAACCAAATTCCCCAGCCAAAATCCAGGCCCTGGGCCAAGCACAATAAGCTGGGCTTCACGAACACACTCAACAGCCTTCTGCTCCTCCATAAATCCCAGCAAAACAATAATGAGTTCTATGTTGGGTTTTGTATTTCATTCTTGGGCTTCTCCTCTAGAACAATGCAGGGCACAGAGATAATTCATGCTTCTAAAATGCACCCTGCAGCACTGGACCCACTTCCAGCACACAACGGAGGACAAACAAGCTCTTTCCAAGAACAGCCTCCACAATAAAAGACTGAACGAATGTCCAAGTCTTGCCAAATGTTTCCACTTTCTCCAGCTTTGCCCAGAGGCTTCTAATCTGTCTGCTGTAAGACACTGGAAGGCCTGACCCCTGAAATGGGGCGCTCTCAGCATGTCTCTGCTGGGGCGCAGTGATGCTCTGGTCATTTGTGGAGTGGGGGCCAGTTCTGCCAGTCAAACGTCCCATGGACATTCCCATGTCTTGGAGAAATCCATGGGAACTGGCTTCTTACCCTTTTGGGCCCTGCTGGAAAACACAGCTGAAGACGGCTGTTGAGTTTTGTTGTGCTGTAATGAATTACTCACTGGCGGAGCTACACCCACCTCCCTGCATCCCCTAAAGATCCACCACGGATCTTCTCCTGCAGTACCAGCACTGGCCCTGTGATTTCATGCACTCCCACTAAGGCAGAGGCTGGTGTGTTAGTGCAGAGGTGCTAAACACCCTTCCCACCCATGGACCTCCATGGAATGGATGTTCTACGCTGCTATTCTGAGTCCTACATGCTCCCACTCAAGGGGAAAATGATTCTCTTAGGTGTAAACCACCGTCTTAGCACTGAGTTGCAGTGGTAGAAGCTAGACCAGGATGTGGGAGCATGTTCCACAGCAGTGGAGCTGATTTTAGAGCTGAGACAGACATAAACAGTAGCGGAGTTTATGTGCAATAGAAATGTCCTCTTCACGCTTTGAGTGCGCAGGGTTACACCAGGACAGCAAAGCACCACTTCTGGTCACCTACAGAGAATTAGACTCTGTGAACAGATCATTTCCTCTTGCCTCCAGTTTGAAGCGTGTGAAGCAGATGGGGGGAAGTGTCAGCTACTTTTGCAGTCCAGGAGGTGTATAACCCTTAATAGAAGTGGAGATTTATTGGCTAGGTGAGACTGGGGGTTAGCACACCTGATGTGCATGGCTGGCAGGCAGGTTTGCTTTCATTTGAGGAACACACAGTAAAAAAAGCCCATAAAATGCTTATAAAAGACTCAACCTAATGGCAGTTCTTATCTAGGAGAAACATATCCTGATTTAGTGAAGCACATGTGAGTGTAATGATACAAGATGCAGATCAGCTGAATAGGAGGGGCCTGGCTTAGGATGTAAGTCTGATTAATGACTGCTGTGATGGTGTGTGTGGGGCCACCTCACTCACTGCAGAAACGATCTGTGGTGGTAAATGGAGCTGGAGGAAAGGTTGGATCCTGCCTTTGGTGTCCTGGGCTGCTGCCTCAGTGTGTTGTCTGTGGACTGGTCCTGCTTTGTGCGTGTGTGCACAGAGACTCCTGCCTGGGAAAGGGACTTTGCTGTGGCTGGTGGTGACTGACAGAGGGACTCTTCATCAGGGACTGCAGTGATAGGACAAGGGGTGATGGGTTCAAACTGAAACAGGGGAAGTTCAGGTTAGATCTAAGGAAGAAGCTCTTCCCTGTGAGGGTGCTGAGGCGCTGGCACAGGGTGCCCCGAGAAGTTGTGGCGGCGCCATCCCTGGCAGTGTTCAAGGCCAGGGTATACAGAGCCTTTGGAGACATGGTCTAGTGTGAGGTGTCCCTGCTCATGGCAGGGGGGTGGAACTGGATGATTTTAAGGTCCTGTTCAACCTAAGCCATTCTGTGACTCACTGAGTAGGAGACCATGGCACGTCCAGGAGTCAGAGTGGAGATACATGTCTTAGCATTGCACTGTGCTGCCTCCTGTCCAGATACACAACAGACTCTTAACATGGAGTGAAAGACCCTCCACAGCTTGCTGGAGCCCCTGCCAAACTGCTCAGGGACTGAGGTTGGCTGAATTAGACCCATTGCAGCTACTACTCCGCAGTCAGAGCAGGGGCCACTTGTGGGCAAGTTACTCACTGTTCATGTCAGTCTGTGGTTAGCATTACTCAGCGAAGTCGCCTCTGTCAGCAAAGCCTTTGGAGTAGGATGTAAAGATATAATGAGACTATTTAAAGTTACGAAGAAAAAAGATGCCCAAACAAATTCTCTGCAGCCTGAGAAAAGAACAGTCCATATGGCTGGTTTTTAGCGGGAACCTTGACCTAAAACCTCACCTGGGAACCAAACCTGCAACCAGCTCTTTATCCAGAGTGTGCTGAACCCAGGACTTCACCCTTGACACCCATACTAATATTGGACCATATGGAGCCTGGACATGAATTCTGTCTGGATTCCTATTTAGCACATCTTGAGCACTTCAGCTGTTCCTTTGCAGAATTAAACTCCTCTTTCCTGGTGGTGTGGGTGGGCTCAGAATTAAATTTCCAAGGCACCAGAAACTAGAAATAGAAGAAACTTTAACTTTTTTTGCTCATAACTCAGGGAAGTACCCGCATGAGGTCAGGCTGCAGCTTCTCCTTTGGAAGTGACATTTCCCTTCTTTACCCTCTTTCCTAATGCCTCGTCTGCTTGCAGAAGGACATTACCTGCATGGAGAAAGACTGGATTTACTGGGAAGGAATGACAAGTTTGTGTCTCTGGTCAACTTCAGCATCCCTCAGCTGTGCCAGTTCACAGCGTGCATTGACCTAAAGCGGACTGCCAACGTCAGCTCTTGGGCAGCGTTCTCCTACGACGCCAGCAACTCCTCCACTGACATCAATGACTTAGAGCTTGGACTCTCTGGAGAAAACAAGCAGTTAAGACTCTATCTCTTTGGCACCAGACGAGACATTGACATTGAACTGGCCCTTTTTGTGTGGTACAGCGTGTGCTGCTCGTGGGACACCAGGAAACAACTGCTGGAGGTCTACTGCAACAGTGAGCTCGTGCATACTGAAACCATTGGCAGTGCTGGGTGCTTGAAACCCAACGGGAGCCTGGTGCTGGGTCATCTGCACAAAAGAAAGGACGGCTTCATTGTGCGGGTGAGCAACAGCTTCATTGGCAGCTTGTACTACTTCCAAACGTGGGACCGTGTGCTGGGTCAGGAGGAGCTGCTGGGCTGTGCCATGGGCAACACTGTCAGCTGGAAGGAGGAGTATTGGAACTTCAGTAGCATCCCGCCCGTTGTGGACCATCGCCTACGCTGTGGTGAGTGGCTGCAGTGTTTTGTGTTGCTGGGGATCACATAGAGAGAGTAGGGAACCCTCCACTGCTAAGAACAACTAACAGCCTCCGAGTCACTGCTGCTGTGATTGAGACCTGGGGTGGGCAGAGTTGAAGCCATGCTTACAGCATCGCCTGCCCACCCCACACAGCCTCTTCTTCAAGCAGATACAGAGGTTGTGGATGAGGGAACACTGTTTTGGGTTATCTCATCATTCAATCCCTATGTCTGTATGTACAACATGGTGTTTAAACAGCAAAGTATGAAAACAGAGCACTGAGATTGATGAATTGACTGATAGACTGACTAATCTATGTAAAACTATTGACATAGCATGATATTTAGTGTTCCACAATAACAGTGAATGCATCTTTGTTAATTGCCTGTAAGCTGATGGCTTCTCAGGGAGATTGGAGGCACAGCATGAAGTAATTGCTCATTTTTGGTGTCCAGGTTGGGAATTCCAGGTCTGTTCCGTCAGACAGCATGTCTTCATCAAGTGCAGCACCCCTTCACTTCACCACAGTTCCCACTGCACTTTCCCATCTCCTGCTCCAGGTTTCACGGAACCAGGGCCCAAGGCAATGAGAAGAGCATCAGGAAACCCCTGACTGCTGCTGAATCCTGTGCTGGGACAGATGTCCCCCTACTCCCTCATTGCACACTCCCTTGCTCTGCACCAAAGAACACAGGCACTAATGACAGTTGCTGTAACTGACAACCTGCTCATCTCAGCTTATCTCAGCTTCCTGCCCCATTGCCTTTTCCCAGGCAGTCCTCTTCCTGCACTGCCTATTGTAGGAGCTACTTCCCCACTGTGTCCCTGACTTCAGGCAGGATATGATCTGATGAGGAGGGAGGAGGAAGGCTCAGTTTCCCTTTTCCAATTAACACCTTTGCCCTCAGGCCATTCTCTCTGTGGGAAAGGTCTGTGCTTGTCTTGGCAAGGAGCTGTGAGAGGCTTAGTCATGTTTGCTGAAGAACAGTTTAGCACCTGAAATCAAAGCCTCTGCTCAGTGTTCCTGGACTTTGATTTTTCAAACCCAGTAACCTGGATGAATTTGAGCAACCTTCGAGTGAGACAAAGCACATGAGAGAGAGGCTTCCTAAGGTCAAAGCATTTTCAAAGCACTTTTCCCCTCTAAAGCAATCCCCACAAACCAGGCGACTGCCTCCTGTTAGGATTCTCCAGTGCAGCCTGAACTGGACATTCAGCCTGGAAAATGTTGGCCCTGTTTGCCAGCAAGGAGAAACACAGCGTGTCTCACAAGTGGGGAACTACAGCAGCACGCTCAGAGGTTACCCTGCTTACAGTGCCATGAGCTGCTGGATCCACAGTGTGTTCCATGCAGGGAGGAGGTTACTGGAGTCGGATGTTTTCCCAGAAGCAATAACTAAGAATGAAGTCCTGGTTACAGAGATAAAATTAATCGTGTTTGGGAATCTGCCGTGTGTCAGATCTTGGCAAGACCTTTGCTTCCACTAGAAATCTACTCCTTATTTTAATTAACTGAAATTCATAAGCTGACTGTTGCACACTGATGATACATGAGGTAGGGATAACAGTGAGTGGTGTAAATACAGACTGAGTTTTATGTCCTGTCTGTCAGATAGGGGAAGCTGCACTTGGCTGTAATTCATAGGGATTGTCCATATGGGGTCACACCTCCTGAGTTTACATGGAACATCTGGAGCATGCATGTAAGAAATAGTTGTGCCAAAGTGTTGCTATGAAGTAAATGTCCCGGGGAAGTGCCATTTCAATGCTCATGTCATGTTATTGCTTGTTAGTGATGCCCTATAATGGTTATCACCAGCTTTGAGGTTTGCTTCTGGTGCTTATTGGTGTCTACAGAGCTGCGCGTTGCTTGGTTCACCTTGACAGTGCAGGCAGTTGTGCTGGGAAGCTGGGAATCCTGCTTTGGTTTGGAAAGCCAGGGCTCACTGAGGCAAAGTGAGGGAAACTTCTCACCTGAAGGTAGCAGGAAGCAGCCTTAAGGATCTGTGTTGACTTTTAAAAGTGATAGAGTTATCACAGTGATTGCACTGGCTTTGCTTGAGAGCAGGAGTAAAGTTATTGTCCTGCTTTTGCTTTCTTCCCCCCAGAGTTCTTGATCCTTTACTTTTCCAGCTCAGCTGGGCCCTTGCTAAAAGTGAAGTTTGTGTTCTCCTCCTCTCACTGACTCACAGTCTTCAGCTCTTCCTCCCCCTACCTCACCCACACACTGACTTCTGATTTTCTTCTTAATTTGAAGTAATCTGGGCAAGGGATGAATCTAAAATACCTGAAATGAGTGATTATGATGGAGAAATCTATTTATTATTACAGCTCTTTTATTGGCTGGCCTAATTTTTGCTGCTCTTCAGTGGGAAACATACATATTTCTATATTTACAAAGAAACCATTTATTAAGTTACCAAATCAAAAGCCATGAGTAGGGCTTAAGAAATGTCAGTGGCACAGTATTTCTGGAGCTTCAGACCTCATCTGTCATCACGCCTTAGCCCTTGTTTCCTGAATGGAATTACATGTGTGTTAATGGAAGCAAATGAAGTTACAGAGTGCAGGTAGGCTGGTCCCACCCCTGCCTGCTGGGAATGAGCTTTGATATGTGGGAATAAACAGAGATTTGGGGGGTTTCTTCAGGTGACAATGAGAAAAAGAAAGAAAGGAATTAGAATCTGCCCAGTTGTGGTTGCGCTTTGTTTGTCAGGAGAGGACCACAGCACTCAGTGGGGTACATTCCCCTTTAGAATGAGTTTGGGCTTTGGTTTTGGGCATTTCTCTATTTTATTCTATCTTTTCCTTAGCAGATTCTTCTGCTTCATCCTGGGTGATACCAGACATCACCCCTGAGGCCATGGGTTTTGAAGCATTACACTGATAACAGGGAACAAGGTGGAGCCTGTAATCACCCAGCTCCGTGCAGATTCCTCTTACCTGGAGAGGATCTGCAGCACTGACACAGCCAGAAGAACAAGTTTAACCCTGGGTGTGCAAAGAGTTTCGTTTATTGCTTGAGAAATCCTAGCCTAATATCATGTCTGTGTTTCTATAAGGAAAGAAGAAGGGCTTTATTCCAGTGATAGGGCATGTGGGCTTCCTGTGTTCTCATCACACTCCCTCTATGACAGCAGCTCTTAAATAAAGCCAATAACAAGACACTCATTTTCTATCAGCTTGAAACCAGGGACTAATTATTTGTAGCATTACACTGGAGCTCACAGAACCCATTCCTGCAGCTCCACAGCACAGGAAGGCACACAGGTTTCCACTCCAAGTCTGAACGGTGGGATTAGAGTCACTGGGGATGCTGGAATATCTGAGCATCAGGTACTCCAGGTTTTGCTCTTTGTATTCTCACAGTAGTATGTCTTGTGAGGATGGGGAGGGCTTGGAGGAAAACCACATCCCTGTAGTTTCAGGTCCTTCTGTTTTCCTTAGAGGAGTTGTTTTCCTTTGCCTCTAGGGTTTTGCTTGTAGTTAAGTAGATACTTCTGGCTTCTTGTTCTCTGCATATCCATGTGTGTCAAAGAGTGTTAGTGGCTGTTGGTAGGAGGTCTGTGTATTGAGTATTTAGGACTGTTTTGCAGCAAAATGACTTAACCCTGTGGATCTTTTCCAAATAAAGAACCAGCAAATACCCATTAGTCAGGTCATGTTTCTGACCTACTGCAGGCAACGGCTTTGAAATGGCAATGTGGCAGATGGCTCCTGGGACTTGCCAGTGTTTTAGTGGAAGAGTAAAGCAGAGTAAATCAGCCCTTTTTTTCCCCAACAGTTGAGTACTATCTCAGGAGCAAAAGGCCTGAGTAAAGAGGTGTCCAAATGAAAATCTCACCTTCCTCAAGCAGCAGGGGCTGGTTTTATAGCTCTCTCAACACTCTGGGAGCAGCAGGGACTGTGCTACACAGAGCACCACCCTGCAGAAGCAGGTTGCAGGGCAGCCTGATCCTTGGAACATCCTTCTTGCTCCCCATCCCACTGCCTCCAGGAGCAGAGCTGCTCCCAGCTCAGCTCTCCACCAGCTCTGAGTGCGCTGCCTCTGCTGAGGATGTTTGGGGGGTGGCTGAAGCTGCTGCTTCCCGGATCCTGAGATGACACTAAACCACACACTGGCACCACTGAGGAACACTGGGAGGCTGAAGGCTGAGCTGAAGACTGAAGAGCCTGAGCTTTGTCTGCAAGAGACAGCTCAGAGCTGGACTTCAATAGCTTTGTTGCCCTCTTGCTCTGGTTTGACTTTGTGCTGGGTGCAGGGCCTGTGGCTCAATGTGAAGGGTAAAACTGCTTGTTTGTGTAGGAAGCAGAAGCTTGTGTACTGCTCAGGAGGAGCTTCTGCCTTCAGCTCTCCTTTCAGCTTCACAAGAGAATTTGAAGCTATTTAGGATAAAACCAGGAGGCTTCAAGTTGTTGACAGCCCCTGTATCTGTTATGTCCATGGATGTATTGCCATTGATTTGAGTGGGTCAGAGCTTGTCTGACCCTTTCAAATGGATTGTCATTGATTTGAATGGTCTGTTACATTTTAAGCGTGGTGATTCTCCTTCCCTTGAACTCTCGTGGAGAAAACAATGTTTTCTGAAGGACAGCCTTATCCTACTGATTTCCAACCACACTCCTTATTCATAGACATCTGGCTTTGTATTCACGTGTTAAGTTTATTTCTCTTAGTCAGACCTAGAATGTCAAGTTTCTGACAGTCATTTGAGGGAAGAAAAAGCCACAGATTACCAGCATAGGAAGAAAATGGTACCTCTAGAGCAAAATGTTGTGATCCTGCTGTTCTTTCAACACCAAGGCTTGTAATGTTAGCTGGTGATTCGATTCACTGCCATTTGCTGTAGTACCTGTGAAAAACATGACCTGTTTTGTCCCTGTCTGTCTGGTGAGGTGCCAGATTGCATGTGAAATGCAAAAGTCCTATCTGGTTTGACAAGATGATTCACTTCAAGGAAAATTAGCCACAAATGAGTTCTTGGAATTCTGCCCTTTGAACACAACAGGCAGGATGGCTGGTGTTTATAATGGGAACCCTTAGGCCAGGTTATCATTAAACCAGAGACCATGAATATCGCTGTTCATCTCACATTGCATTACTGCATGTTAACTGTTAGCACTCAGTGTTTGACAAGCTCCTTTTCTGAAGACTGGCTCAGGTCACTCAAGCAAGAAGGGAACAGAGAGATAGCAGCTCTTCAACACAAGCAATGAAGAAAGATAATGGCGCGTGAGCTCGGGTCTTCCTTGTGATCTGAACTCTGCCAATCCTGTTTTCTCCCTTGTTATGGTGTAGTTGCCTCTGATAGAAAACTCCATGTGTAGGTGTATGTGTAGGTGTATTTCCCCCCATTGCTTTCACCCCACAGAGGCCTGTGGAACAACAGCAGCTCTTTGTTACGATGACAAGTTTGCTGATTGACTCGTGCCTTTCTCTAATTGGGCTCTGTTCTTCCTTACACCTTTGCCACTGTGGATTCTTAGGCCTTTTAATGTCCTTTTCAGCAGGCTCAAGTGAAGCATCTTCCACAACGCTGCCCCCGTTGCCTCCGACCAGTAGTACCAATGGTACCATTCCACGTAAGTGCTAAATGAGCCCCTTTTAAATGCTGACATGGTCACCACTGGCACTGACACCACAGATGTGACAAGTTAAGACTCAGTCACATGTTTAAGCCATTGCTGTTTAGCAAGGTACTGTCTGGCAGCAGATCCCCCTATCTCTTCCTAAGCATTCCTTGCAGGCAGTAAAAGCCAGCCCAGTGCACCCACAAGTATGAACCACAACTTGTTTGCTAAGCTGTGATAACTTGACGGTGTGTTTGGGCCCTTAGGCTCTTTAAGAACGTTTCTAGAATGCAGCAGTGATTTAGACTTGGACACTTGGAGGCTGGGATTTCCCAAAGAGCCTCAGGGAGCATGGGAATGGTTCAATGGAGGGGTGCAGACACCTTGTACAGGATGCATCTCACTTACATTCTCTTCCTACAGTCAGCTTCTTTAATGTTGATATGAACTTTTCCCTCTTCTACAAAACTGAGCGAGCTCCTGATTACTACGATGCAAGGAAGCTCCTGGAAAACTGGGTGAGTAGGTTTCTTTTCTCATTCTCATGTCTCCCTAGCAAGTATCAGATGATGAGGACAGCTGGTACAGCATGTAAACTGATGGCACAACAGGGAAATGAGTATCCATGTCGCACTGTTGTGGTGTTTCAGAATCATGTTATCCAGCACTCTTTTAGCAGGATAAAATGGAATTCTGAAGGAAGGCAAAAGTGCTGACATTTTGCCAAAATTTGTAGCTGTTTTCATTGGGATTTAGAATTTTGATGGTAATTCAAATAGAGAAAGTGTCAATAAATCAAGTTAACAAGAATGTCACTGTTTTCTTTCCAGTTTAGTATCATATTTACTGGAGAAGAATTTGTTGTGGCAAACTTTAAAGTCAGGTGAGTCTCTGGCTGTATAGAGGTGTCACCTCCACCCTCTGTCCTTTGAGTGAAATTGCAGCCGGGTTCCCCGTGGCCATTTCAAAGCTGACCAGTCCTGTGACAAGGGTGGAAACCAGCCCCTCAGAGCTGTATAATCATGTAGAACACCCACATTTTGCTCACTGGCCTCATTCATCTCAAAATATATATCCTGCCTAATGCAAGGCATGTAGCTGCTGCTAGGGCTGCTGAAGCCCTGTCTCAGTGACTGCATGTGAGTGTGAAGAGGTCACATCCATCCTCAGAGTGAGGGTCTAGTTTGTGTAAGCAGGTACACACTGGCTCTTGCATGGCAGTGTCTAATGAAAGGCTATTATAGTTCCCAAACTCTGCTCAGAAACAACGGGTTGTTGCCCAAGACGCCTCTATGTCACAGCTTTTAGTCCAATCCAGCTTTATTCCATATGAAGACAGGCTAAGAAAACTGGGGCTGTTCAGCCTGGAGAAGAGAAGCTGGGTGGAGACCTCAGAGCAGCTTCCAGGGTCTAAAGGGGACTACAGGGATGCTGGAGATGGGACATTCATCAGGGGCTGTAGCGATAGGACAAGGGGTGATGGGTTCAAACTGAAACAGGGGAAGTTAAGGTTAGATAAAGGGCAGAAGCTCTTCCCTGTGAGGGTGCTGAGGCGCTGGCACAGGGTGCCCAGAGGAGCTGTGGCTGCCCCATCCCTGGCAGTGTTCAAGGGCAGGTTGGACACAGGGGCTTGGAGCAACCTGCTCTAGTGGAAGGTGTCCCTGCCCGTGGCAGGGGTTGGAGCTGGAGGAGCTTTAAGGTCCCTTCAACACAAACCATTCAAGGTTTCTATGATTCACATCCAAACTGAGCAGCTGAGAGGGACATTTAGCAATTCATGAAAGTATCACTTGCACAGACATGGGGTGTTATTTCAGGCATATTTTGACTTCTTATTTCCAGTCTCTGATTTCCAGTTACTGTTTGCTTTACAACTGACAACACAGCTGTCTACATGGGGTGAATCCAATTCAGAACATCATGAGATAAGGGGGGATCCCATTCTGGAAGAAGCATTTTCTGTCAGGGTGCACATCTGGTACAGCACTTGGCCTTGGGGATTTATGCAGCTACACCTACGCTAGGTTCAAGATGACTTCTCAGCTGCAAGGTCTGGCTCATTGTGGTCATGAGATAATGTCTTCAGGTGATAGCAGAATGGGGCACGTTATGTGCTTACTCTGAAATAATTCTTCTATTCTTTTTTGCTTACAGGGGTAATTATCCACAAAGCAGTGTCTGTAACAGGGCTCCTGTAAGTCATTTGCTATTTTTGAGTTAAAAACTTACTTTTTCTTATCTCTTCAGGGAGGATATAGTAGTCGTATGGTTTAAATGCTGATGGTAGACGTACCCCATTTAAAGAGCTGGGCTGGAAAGCCACTGTGTCCCAGTAAATACTGACAAGTTCTGCTCTCTGCATGAGGCAGCATTGATGCACTATGATGTTCCCTTTTATCCTGATGTACCTCTAGAAGTACTATGGAGCAAAGGCTACTCAGAGTCAGGCCCCAATAGCATTTAAAGCAATAGGCTCTATTTTGATGAGAACACTGAGTTTCTGCTGCTTGCCTGCCTTGAAATCCAACTTGCATCAGTTGATTCTAACCAGCTTCTAACTTGTGTCTTTCTCTGTGAACTGAAGGTGAAGCTCAAGCAGATGTCACAAAGGTAAGACCCATGGTCATGAACTGGGTTTCCATAACTCATATTGATTTCATTTTTAGGGTGAGGAGGAACTATATCCCTCCTCAGTTGTTTTAGTTTCAGAGTAACTGTGGAACCTTTAGTTGTATAAAGCAGAAGTGGAGTCAGAACCACAGTTAACACTTGGCTTGGGGAAAGGTATTTGAGCATCCAAGGTTTCTCTCTCAAACACCATATCTTGGAAGGCTCTTCCATGGCAAGAGCTGGGAGGTTTGCACTGCACTGTAAAAGTTGGCTTCAGATCCTTCACTAGGGCCAGAGCTATGAGTGGCCAATGCCCAAGAGAGCTGCCAGGATGAACCCTGCACCTCTCCTGCAGGAAATCCTATTGCCTGCTGACCACAGGCCAGAAAAGAAGGGGGAGCTGGGTTCCCATTACATTTAAGTGGTTGCAAATGGCTTACAAAGGCTGTGCTTAGTGGGGAACAGCTGTGTAGAGACAGGAGTGAGTTGGGAACACTTGGAACATCCCAGTCCTAAGGAGATCTCACTTGTTAGCCCTCAGTTAAATTAGAGGTCCATTGAAATGATCCATCTACAACTGAGAGATGTCTCTTTGCATCTTTCTGCTGTGCCTGAAGCCACTCAAAGAGAGACACAGTTTTTCCAAACCTCCTGAAGTCAGCAAACATAGTTACCCAGAAGATGGCTGTTTTGAGGAGAGAAAGCTGGAATCCAAAGAAGATGCTGAAAGCAGTTAAATCTCAGTTTTCCAGGGACCTTGGTGTCTGTCATCTCTGTCTGGACACAGAGTTACTCAAGCACCTCATCATTTTATGGCTAGTTCACTCCAAACTTTAAAACATGGTTGAAAAATGCTTACTTGTGACAGAGATGTTCCTGTGCCAAGATAAAATGAACAGAAAACCTCTTGTGGTACTTACCACAAAGCTATAAAAAGGTTCATGTACCTGCCTTCCCAGTAACTCATACTTTAGAAAGCATCTCCAGTGGTAAGGTCCTAGTGTGCATAAGAAGTGGCATTTGGTGACGTTTGCCATTGGTCTGCACTTATGGTGAACAAAATACATACAGAAAGTATCCAGTGCAATATAATTTTCTGGGGTACTCCTTAATTTTGTAGCCACTTCTAATTGTGAGATGTTACTAATATGGTAGCCTTGTTTGTGTATCATATTTGTAGCTACATCTGTAAGGCCATTATAAAGGCCACATCACTTGAAACACAAGAAGTGCTGATTCTCAAGATCAAACAACTGTTGAATGACACTTATGAAGAGGGACTATTATCCTTATACGTGACACCTGAAGATGTGGCTGTCAAGCCAATAGGTAATATAATACTTCATTAAAAGCTCATTGGAAACCACATGCTTTGTAATTCTAAGAGACACTCACCACCCTCACAGTAAAGAACTTCTTCCATATATCTAACCTGTATCTACTTCAAAGCTGTTCCCTCTTGTCCTATCACTACTTGCTCTTATAAAAAGTCCCTTTCCAAGTTCTCCAGTCCTAGTCTCTTTGTTGGTTTGGTTACAATCTCTATTGCTCCTTAAAACACAGAAGCAAAGCAGAGAGAAGAGCTGTAAGACTGTACCTGAACTTCAAACCCACATTTTATACCAAAGACTTACAAAAGATCAGCTGCAGACAATAAAAGTACAAGCCTGGAGGAAGAACACTGATGGATAATGAAGGGCAGTGTGAAAGCACATTCAGATGGAATAGAGAAGCCTGTGGGATATTCTGTCATTAAATATGGTTTGTGATGCTGGGAAAATAACACTTTACCTGAGAACTGACCTTGTTAAAGAGAAGAAGGTTGTAGAAGAATAGATGAAATACCTCAGCAAAATGTTTTCTTGCAGCCAGTAAACTTGTCAAATGCTTCTTTCCAGTCTGCAAATTACAGCTCATTCCGCCAGGAATGGAGGCCAGAGAACAGCGTGTCAGGGGATGGTGTCTGCTTTGGGGTTATTCTAGCTTTTTAAAGGGATTTTCCATGTTTCTTCCTCAGCACTCATGGATTGTCCAGAAAGCTTTTCCCACACAACCTACAAGGGGAATTATTCCTGGCCGCTAACAAAGCCAGCGACCAAAGCGGAGGTGAGCTGCAGGAAAAACCCTCAGCAGTCTGCTCAGAGGAGCTGGTGAGTGACAAACTCATCTCATTTGGGTTCCTGCATGGGAAACAGGAGGGAGAGCCAAGCTTTGAGTGGTGGGAAAGCAGATGGTAATGTGCCATGGCACCAAGGAAGATGCGAAGTGTGCAGCGATGCTCCAGCGCAGGCTGTGGGAGAAGGGAGCCCTGCATCATTTCATCCCCTGCAGCAAGCACAAGCAGCACTTGACTTTCTGCTTGAGTAGGGAGGGGAAACAGATGCATGGTAGCGTTTTGTGCCACCCATTCACAGCTCTGCCTTCCAGCACCTCCAGATGCATTTCAAATTGCTCTGGCATTAGGGCTCTGCTCCTGCTCTGCTAAATGAGTGCTAAGTCAGATGTGACTTGCAAGTCAGTTTTAAAATGGGGCTAAGTAATGACATTGAATGTACTTGAATGGGAAATATGAGGAACATCCATTATTACATGGTTTTTTCTTGTAACAATGTACCCTGTTTTCCTTTTTCAGTGGAATTAATATTGAACTTCAGCAAGCTTTTTGGAAGAAACCAGATTTGACTGAATGTAGATTACTGGAAGAACTCCCAAATAATATCTTAGACCTTCAAGATATCACGGTAACAGAAGGTAAGGCAATGGATACTCCAGTGATACAGTGAATCAGAGTAAAAAGAGTTATACTCAGATAATGCTTATGTTGGACATTGAAAAACCAAAGTGATAAGGTTGTTGTATGTGCATCCTGCTCACCTGAGCATCTTGAAGTGGTTTTAATGTAGATGAACTTTGCAGGTGCTTCAAAATTCTCTAGCAATCACTTTGAAGACTTGTCTCAAATCAGAGATTTGAAATCAGCTTTAGAAGTAAGTGAATAACTGCTGAATAACATGACAGGTTTTACCTGCCTATGCTCTGTTGCTGCATTGAAGTAGTTGATTATGTTGTACAAAGAAGCACTGATTAGTGTATGGAAGTGAAAAGTTTGTGCTGTAAGTCCTGTAAGCTCAAAGGTGACCTTTAACCACCTGATTATATCTTTGCTAAGCTATGCAAACAGTACAAGTTGTTTGAATGGTGAACAAAAACAATACCATTGCTCATCCACCTACTCAGCAGTGGCATCAAATAATAGAGCCTTGAAAGAGATGTGCAGTTGCATACGGGCTGTCTGACTCCTCGGGTGGAAAACTGCTTCTATAAAAACATTGCAGAGGGATGATGAGATGGTGAATGGCAAATACAACTCTTCAAGTTATATCATTCAGAAATGGCGTTTGCTGCTGTCCCACTTAAGTAGCATTTGGGCAGAGAGGAAGAACTTGTATAATTCTGAACTCCAAACTGCTTGTAAACGTGACCAAAGCTAACACTAAATGTTATTTACAGCTAATCTTCAGAATCCAAAAGGAGGTGACAAAATCCTTATGAAAAGAACATTGTTTTCTTCCTTTGAAATACAAGCTGAGATATCCAGATTTTACTTTTTGCCAGCTTCACTGTCACATTGAGGGCTCACTGACTTAGGACATAATTCTGTAACAGATCAGAAGCATTATATCCATCTGGAAAGAGAGCAGAAGCAGGCCAATTCCTTGCTGTAACGTAGAGACGTGGAGCTGTATAGCTAGGCACATAGCTATGCCACATACATCACCTGTACTTTCCTCTTTTTCATCAGAGAATGCACAAGATGTTGCAGAGCAGATTTTATACCTCTTGCCAAATGCAACCCTGCAAATGGAAGAACTAGAAATCATCACAAATAAAGTTTCTGAGATCATAATGCTTGCAGATGTGAGCGTGACACTTGCAGAGTCTGTATTGTCTATACTAAACTATATTTTGCTGCAAGAAATAGAAGATGAGAACATCAGAAAAGTGACCAATAGGTAAGTAAGATAACCCCCAGAAGTGGCTTCCTAAGCTACAATGGCACCATGGAGTAGTCTATTAAAATACCACCACAAGAGTCAGCAATATCCGTACTTGGATCTTAAACCTGTTTGTGGTTCTTAGCAGTAGAAATTGGCTGTTGTGTTGTCAAAGGTGCTTTTACCAGCACCAACTGTGCAGAAGTCACCAGCAGAGTTGTTCTCGATGGGCATCTCAGTCTGGAGGCAGAGCAGGGAGACTGCTGAGCTGCCCTCTCGTCTCCAGGGTGATCCTCACAACCCAGCACTGAGGTCTCTTGGCACGTCAGCATCTCAGCCAGCAGCACACCAGGCTGGAGTGCTCTATCTCCTTTTTCAAACATAGCTATTCAATGTTAGGCTTCCAAATCTACATTTAGGATCCTACATCCATTATGCGATCCTCACACATGCTAAAATTGAAGTTGCTAGATAACTTTGAAAACATCTCTCTCCTTTGAGATCTTGAAAGTGACTCAACTACCTATTTAAAGGTAACTCAACCACTGGGGTTTGAAATGGCTGTTCAGAAAACTACTGCCAGCCTTTTCAAAGGCAAATGCAGGTACAGAGTTCACTCATCTCTGACCTGGGCAAGGCAGCTTACCCACTTCTCACTGCACAGCCTGAGGCTTCAAAGAGGAGAGATTATTCTATGTTGCACTGACCAGTGCTAACCAACAGCATAAGGATGCTGTGTTCATTGTATTAAAAAGGTCTCTCAGCATCTCTCATTTTAAAGGCCGTGATTATCAGCGATTTTCTGCTTTACTTAAGGTAAACCAATATTTTAATAAGACATGTTAATAAGAAATATTAAAAGCAAGAAAAGTTAACTTCCCACTTAAGTTCTAGGTGAGGCACAGACTAGGCAACAGGCCAGTTGTTTGCACTGGACACCTCTGCGTTGCCTTTGCAAACTCAGGAGGCTGCAAGGAGGAATAGCCAAAAATGGCTTAGAAAATCTGTCAAGGAGAAAGCAGTGAGCAGCATCGTGATCCTTCCGGCTCTGTGCTCTCCCTTCAAAGTCTACTGCAGTGTGTGGAGAGGGGGCTGTGATAGCTGCCAGCACTCAACACCTCTGCCTTCTCAAATAGGCTGGGAGGGGGTTTAAGTGAAATGTTTACTGTGATTTCTCCCATGAAATACAAAGTTTTCAGGACATAAATGATGTTCTGATAGGCCCTGGATTCCTGATCCTTAGTGGTATGAGATGGTGGGTACAAATTGTCATAACAGTGGCTTCACAATTCCTGCAGACAGGAGAAGCTTTGATATTTTCACTTTTTCATAAATCAGACCTTACTTTGAAACACCAAAGAGCACGACCACTGTGATGATGCCTGATGAGTGTCACCATGATGATATCCTCACAAGAGCTGTTATGCTCCTTCTTCCAGGCCTCAGCAGAGACTTTGCATCCCAGATATTCTGGGGCAGTTGAACTCCAGGCTTTGCAGCTCTAGGGCAGCTGTGACTGAAAGGATCCCATGGGACTCCTTGTGTGTCTGGGACTGATGATTCATGAAGAGAACACCAGAGCAGAGGACAGGAAGGTTTTCCTTTAGTCTGTTGGGGGCAGCTCTCTTGCAGGTTTTCAATAGGGTATTATCTGTTCCTGCACACTGCTGAATAGCCTTAATGGAGGCCAAACAAGACCTGGAGCTGCCTCTGACTCTTAATACCCATGAGCATTAAACAACCCTACTTTGCTGCTTCCTTTAGATTCCAGCCTCTTCTCTCCGCTTAGAAAAAGCCCACTGATAGCAGTGCCCAGAAAGCCTGTGAAATCTCCATCCTTGGTGATATCCAGAGCTTCCCTGGACACGACCCTGAGCAAATGACCTATGTTTAAAGTATGCCCTGCCTGGGGCAGGCAGGGAACTGGAGGTCAGACCTCTGGAGGTCTCTTGCAGACTATATTATTCTGGCTGTGATGTTTCACCTGGGGGTACAATTAGATGACTGCAGACAATCAAATCAGCACCTTCTACAAGTTACTGCCTGCCAGATGAAATGTAGTATTTGACTGGGTATGAATTTAGACTCAGGTCTTCCCAGAACCACCTTGTGTTGTCCCCATAGGAGGGTATCATCCACCTGCCAGACTAAGTTGAGTTGCTAACTCAGCCATCAGCTGACCCTGTGCCGGACAAAATGCCCCATAACAGACCCATCCTGCTCTAGTGATTTCTCCTTGTGGTCATAAATCAGAGTGGTGGTTTTTAGCTGCTTCTCTTCTCCTGGATGCATATAATGAAGCCAGGAGAACATTTCAAGAGATGTATCTTTTTTTTGCTTCTTTTTCTTCTTGCTCTTGGTAAAGCATCCTGAAGACAACAGAGGAGCTAGGCTATAAGGTGACTTATACAGAAAGAAATACGTCAGTCATAACCACTTCCATGGCTTTCCTGGTGACACGTCCAGATCCCAGCACGTTTGGAGGACTGGCCTTTGGCGTTACCTCCTACAACAGAGGCCTGGATCTCAAGGTGAGAGCAAAACATCACCTCAGGGACCACTGACTCAACCAGACAATCCTGCTATTTTGTACCATGACATATTTGGCCTGAGGAAAGCAGCTCTGACTGCATCATCTCTCTTTCCTGCAGATCAACATCCAAGAAAACCCTTTCAAAGAGGCCTTGGCCTCAGTGTTTTTGCCAGAATCACTGAAGAAATTCCTCAGGATCGAGCCCTCTGACCCAGACAAGCATTCCAAGATCCAGTTTAATTTCTTTGGCACTACTTCACTCTTTGTGGTAACTATGACTCCTAACAAACACTAACACGGCAGTGATGAGTTCTGCTGTTCTTCGTGTGTGCTAAAGAAAAACCCCAATAGTTTCATGTGTTCTGGGCACATTTACATCAGATTGATGGAGCACTAAGAAATGTGCCGGGGAAATGTTCCCAGGCAGCAAAACCTTCTCTGTAGCAAGGATGCTCTAAGAGGTGTCTATAGACCTTAGACTTGGTGTTCGTTTTCTGTAGCTGATGCTGTTCTAATACTTCTGTAGGAGAAGAACATCCCTTAATCTTGCTCTGCTAGTGAGCCCTTCCTTAAGGAACATGCATAGTACATGTCAAACAGCATTAGAATAATTCCAAGATTTATGTCTTCATTAAAATAATAGCATTTAGGGCTATTCTACCACTTGCTGTTCTCTTATCTCGGGGGGAGTGGGTGAATGTGATTTAAAAGGAGATATTTCTTTTGGTATGATGGAGCATACAGTGTGCTGAGCAACGCTTTTCACATAGAAGCAGCATTCCCCGTTGTGTCTGCTGTCTAATGAGCTTAATAATGTACAACTGCACGTTCTGATGTACTGAAATGATTACATAGCTTTCTCAATCCAGCCAATGCATCTGAAACTCTGTTCTGCTTCAGCTGATGTGGACACTGTCCCTGAATATGCAGCTAATTACAACTTCTAATGAAGTAGCAAGTGGCTAAATTACATCAGGCATCCCATGGTGTTCCAAGAAATACAACTGAAGAGAATGGAAGCAGGGAAGATCTTGGATTTTCATGTGTGTATTTTCTCACTGCAGGATGAGAGCTTGAAGACAGAGAGGTTGAATACTTACGTTGTGAGTGCCAGCATTGAAAACGCATCAGTTCAGACCCTCAAGGAGCCTGTGACTATTACTCTTCAGCACATAGACCATAATGTGGTAGGATGTGTTCATTTCATCAGAGACATATTGAAGTAGAGCCTATTCCACTTGGCCTTACAATAAACCAGCAACAGGACAAATGAGCTTAGAACATTTTCCTGCCTGACCTCTCTGTGATCCATCAACCCAAAGGCTGACAAGCCCACACAGAGCTGGGTGGTTAATTCTGCAATTAGTAAAGCTTGTGTCTCCCCTCTACTAAATCCATGCTTAGCAGCAAGGGGCGTTTTCAGTGTTTCCTTGTTTTGGTCTGGACAATTTTTCTTTTCAAGGAATACTTTATTTGCTAAAGAATTGCAGGGTTTGGGTTTGACAGAAACCATTTGTAGTTGCTGCAAATTCAGCGAGTTGGTTTAAACACCAAAAGAGGTGAATTTTAACAAAACCTCAAAACATTGCACAGATATTTTCAAAATTAATTTTTTTTGTTTCAAAATGATGTGTTGAAACTAAAATCTACCTGAAATTATTTTTAAGTGGGCACAGGTCAAGCTTGGTGACCGAGTTCCCCCTTAGCATTTGTGCGTTACCAATCTGTATGGTCCAGCCTCCACACGAATATATTGCAAACTAAGAGCAGGACTAAACAAGTCCATGAGATGAATTTGATTAAAGTTTAAGTTAATGAGAGCTTGAAAATGCTGCTTTTATGGCAATAAGCTCTTTCCATTCAGTTCTAGCAGATAATCTATGTACCCAGAGACTTCATCCAGATACCCCCCCTCTTCTATCACTTTTACTCCACCATCTGGCACCTCTCAGACTTTTTTCCTTGACCTTTTAAAACTATCCTAATTAAATATTTAATGAAATATCATCCTAACCTACATCTTTGGCTCTCTGCCTAATTATATTTGACAGTCTGCAGATCACGGATCTTATCAGCTTATTTGTTAGGGTGGCTTCCTGGGAACTCTGTGCTTTATTAAACTTTATTAACACTATAATAAAGGAAAATGAATCTGCCTTGGGAAAGTTTGCTGCAGCATCATGAGTAATAAACCAGAATGTCCCCAGAGAAAACACTGCGTTGAATACCCGTTTAAATCAGTTCACCTCTTAGGTGTCTTCCCTGCCTGGCTTCAGAGAGGGAACATTGACATTTTAAAATAGAAGCTGAGAATGGTGGGGGTTTACTGTGTAAAACCTCAGGTTGTTCTTGTAGTCTTAGTCATAACTTGTGAGTTTCACTGGTAATTTGGTATGACATCTCAGATAGCACATGAAGCCAGTGAGGTTAGACGTAGGAACTGGTCTAAGCTGGACAACCTGTCAGATTTTCTGCTGTCCTTCAATGCTACAAGATAGAGGAAAAGTGCTAAATCTGGGACAATCACTGACCCCTGGAATTTCCCTTGGTAAAGGGCAAGGTGAAAACTGGGACTGGCCTTGGGCAACCTGCTCTAGTGGAAGGTGTCCCTGCCCATGGCAGGGGGTTGGAACTGGATGAGCTGTAAGGTCAATTCCAATCCAAACCAGTCTGGGATTCTATAACTCATCTGATTCCCAATGAACCACTGGCATCTCCAGTGACCTGCAGACCCTCTGTGGCACCACCATGCAAATAATCCCAGATATCAGTGGACTCTCTTGTTGAGCAGCACAGAGGAAATCAACTCAAACAGCCTCAGTTATAAACCCTGATTACAAGAAAGATGCACATCTGCAAGTACACGTGGTTTAGAGACACACATCTGCAAGAACACATTGTTTATAGACACACATCTGCAAGCACAGATGGGTTATAGGTGTACTGACTAAATCTCACAACCTCCTTTTTCTCTGCTTTCAGGGTAATGCAGCGGTGCACTGTGTCTTTTGGGACTTCCAGAAGAACAGTAAGTGTTACTTACAGAGCTGCAGGCTTGCTCTGTCACCAGCAGCACACAGCTTTTGGCTCCTTGACGTTGCAGCTTACAGCTTTGAGGGTGTCCTGTTGAGTCTGTGCCACTGATTTCTGTTGTTACCTCAGGAATCACTGTTATTCCTAGGACACACGTGTAGCACTGCACAGGGATGCATCCACATAAGAAGACTTAGCCTAAGGAAAAAAATAAGCAGAAATGAAAGGAAATGTGAGATGATTTCTCATAGTTACCTCAGGGAAGTCAGTGGGGCTTTGCTGGGATTAAGTCTTGAATATGGCTCTTCAGAGATGGAAAGAGAACTGTGTATTGGGTTAACTCAGAACATGTGGGAGAGGTTTTCTCTGCACTTACTGGTGTTAGAATATCTATTTTTAAGAATCAGAAGCTTAGTTCTGAACATGTCACACATGCCACATAAATAGGGACATAAACTTACCAGGGAAGGTCTGGCTTTTTCAATGCTACACTGCCTAAAGAAGTCCTCTGCCCTTGCCTTCTGTGTTTCCACATCCTGCAGCGTAATCTAGTCCAGCATATTCTTCCTTACCTTCCTGCCTTCTCTGTGTGCAGGCAGGGAAATGACTTCAAATATTTCTGCATTCCACCAAAGGCTTTCATCCAAGTTTTGAGATTCTCAGGCAACTACAGAAGTGTTCCTGTGTGAAATCTCACTTGTGTGCTGCTCAATGACCCTGCAATCTGTACCAACTTGAGCTTGTATTCACACATTCTGCATGCTGCAGAGCTATAAATGACTGAGCATGACTAACTCTGCCTAAAACTCCCTTTTTCTCTATTACACAGATGGACTGGGTGGTTGGAATACGTCAGGGTGTGAAATGAATTCTACAGATAGGAATTACACAATCTGTTTTTGTAACCATCTTACCCATTTTGGAGTCCTACTGGTAAGTATTGAATGAATCATCTCCAAGAGTCCCATGGCACTAACCAAATTCATCACCAGTTTTGGGGAGGGATGGGAGATTCGGAGCTATACAAGCTGTAGTGATCTGCAAGCTTGTCAAAATCACCATTAACAAACGAACCAGTTATAATAATTGGTTATGGTATAAAGTCCTCTAAATGTCACTTGCTTCAAGGCAAATTCATTTTACAGATGTAGTCTGGACTTCTTTGTGATCATCAATTCAGTTAATGTCTTATTTGCTGCACTGGAAATACGGTGTTAAACTTGTTGTCTGCCAGTGGCAGCTAATGAAGTTACAGCTTTCTGCAAGTTGAATCTGTGCTCTGTCAAAAAGAGAAGCTTAATAGAAAAACGGGAGATGCCTTTTTTAATCTACAATACAGAGAAAACTGCCTCTAAAAGTTGAATGACAAAAAATGAGATGACTGCCTGCGAATGGGCTGCAACAAATGCAAAGGGATAGGCAAGGTCAGAGCAACCTGAGTAGGCTGAAGTTGTCTGATCCCAGTAGGATACATCCATCGCAATGGGGTAAGGCCAGCCCTTTGCCTTCGATGCCTGCCCAGCTTCCCCTGAAGGTCAGCATCACATCTACAAAGTAGATCTACAAAGTGAGCTCCCAGTGGAATGACTTTGGCCAGATCCAGGAATCCTGGTTGAATCTGTGAAGTGCAGCTTTTCCAGCTTCACAGCTTATTGCTGGATACTTTAAATACTGCATATTTTTACTCCTTTGGATATTCTGTAGGACTATACAATAAGGAAACACATAAAGTATTAATGGAAGCCCTCCAAAGTAGCAGTAAGCAGGATGGAAATCAATAGCTTTATCACTGTGAAAAGGTGGAAAGCAATTTTCATTATCTGTCATGGCAAACAACAGTGATTTCTTATCTTGTTACATAGGACTTGGCCCGGACAGAGCTAGATACCACACAGGATCGTATATTAACTCTGATAAGCTATGCAGGATGTGGTGCTTCTTCCCTGTTTCTGAGTATAACACTGGTGACATATCTAGCCCTTGAGTAAGTCTGATCCTCTTTCTTATGTCATTTTTACTCCTTTAGCAGTAATGAATTTGCAGCAACTATCAGAATGTTTGGTGACATTGGATGCTGTGATGCATAGGAGGGAAGATGTAAATGTTGTTTTATTTTAGCCTGTGACTGTGGTGAAATAAGAGGGATCCAAATACTCATGTTTCAGTACAAGCACTGATGTGAACTGCTCAGCAACTTCGATGTTCCTCATTTTCAGTCATTTTAGAAACTTACCCACAGATATAAAACACTCATGTAGACACAACTTATAGAATCCCAGAATCCCAGCCTGGTTTGTGTTGGAAGGGAACTTAAAGCTCCTCCAGCTCCAACCCCTGTCACGGGCAGGGACACCTTCCACTAGAGCAGGTTGCTCCAAGCCCCTGTGTCCAACCTGGCCTTGAACACTGCCAGGGATGGGGCAGCCACAGCTTCTCTGGGCACCCTGTGCCAGCGCCTCAGCACCCTCACAGGGAAGAGCTTCGGCCTCAGACCTCATCTCAATCTCCCCTCTGGCAGGTTCAAGCCATTGCCCTTGTCCTGTCCCTCCATCCCTTGTCCAAAGCCCCTGTCCAGGTTTCCTGGAGCCCCTTGAGGCCCTGGAGCTGCTCTAAGGTGTCCCCTTCAGGAGCCTTCTCTTCTCCAGCTGCCCCAGCCCAGCTCTCTCAGCCTGGCTCCAGAGGAGAGCTGCTCCAGCCCTCGCAGCAGCTCCGTGGTTCATCTTATACCACAAGAACACAACTTGTTAACACGACAAACACCCGTTTGTGCTACTTTGCACTAGTGAATGCACCCAGCACCAGCCATGCAACGACAACCCTGTGGACTTTCCCATTCCTTTTAGAAAGCTGCGGAGAGACAACCCTGCAAAACTCCTGCTCAACCTTTGTGCTGCGCTGCTGATGCTGAACGTGGTGTTCCTCACCGATTCCTGGCTGGCCTCGTTCAACCAGCCAGCTCTCTGTATCACCGTGGCTGTGCTCCTTCACTATTTCCTCCTTGCAGCTTTCACATGGATGTGTCTGGAGTCTCTTCAGTTTTACTTGGCTCTCATCAAGGTTTTCAATGTTTATGTCCCAAAGTACATCCTGAAATGCTGTATTGCTGGCTGGGGTAAGTAAGCACATTTCTTCTCCTCTTCTGTAGGTTGCACACCCTGAGCCATAAGGCCATAAGGCTGGATTTCGTCCCCAGGCAGGTTCAACTTAAGTTTCTTCTATCCAGGGAAACATTAGCATAAAGTACCTGTTGCTCCTTGCATGGTCATATGCAAGGAAAGGTGAAATTGGGCATAAAGAGCTGCTTTCCTTACCCCTCCTGCCCTTTTATAGGAATGATTTCTCATGGCATCTCATGTCAGTGTGTGTGCCTGAGGAAGTATGAGCTGCCCACAGCCTTCACCTCTGCACTGGTGATGCTCAGAAGTGATTTTGATCTCCTTGTCTAGGCCTTGTGTGTTTACCTGCTATTCTATGCATGATTCCCCCATGGCAGGTGGATTTAGCTTTCATTCATAGCTCTCCTGAAGACTTCATTCATTCACCTTTCTTGCAAGAACTGAGCATCAGGGACTTGTCTGGGAGAAATATAAGCAAAAGAACCCAACTCTGATGTTATCAGAGACACTGACCCAGAGCAGAATCAGGTCTGTGTTTTTTGGGTTGCCATTAGATGCCATTTTAAAGGGGGTTTGAGGCTTTTGAATGTCATCAGTCTTATCCCCAGATCTCAAGTGGCACATGATAGTTCTCAGACATCCATGATGGTGGTGGTGGTGGCAGCCGTTCCCAGCTGAAAAGCCAGGACTGAAAGAAATGTGGAAAATGAGAAGTGAGCTGAAGGGAAGACAGATGAAACTGTCTGGAAAACGTCTGTCTCAATCAGATCTTAACACAAAATGCTGTGGTCTGCTTATCTTGTGACACTGCTTTTTGTAATAATCAGCTTCATTGAACCAGATTGGATCCCTTCTGGAGATGTTTGAACACTCACAAACATTTTGCAAACACAGATATTTTTATGCCTACTCACTTGTAATTTACATAAATAAGGAGAATAAACCTGCTCTGCCACATATTGAATCACACTTGTCTCAAAAGGAGTTTTAGGGGTAGACTTTGATCCAAAGATGTACGTGTCTGCTGTGATTACTCGTCAGAGATTAGCTGATGTCTTTCCATAGGCTCCATAATTTCTTTATAATCTAAGTATTTCTTTTCCTCTTGCCTTCCACACCAGGAATACCAGCTCTTGTCATTTCTATTGTGCTCGGTATAAATAAAGACTTCTATGGTGATGGATCACATTCAGAGAGCAATCCATTCAGCAATTTGTAAGTATGAGCTTTTTGATGGTCAACAGAGTATCTTAAAGATACAAGAAATAACAAGAACAACTCTTCTCTGACTCTTGTCTTTTCTCCCCTATCTTAATCCTCTCCCTTTAGTGGTTCTGGTTCAGTCTGGATGTACAGCTACTACATGGAGTAACTCTCACGCCAGTGGACTGGGCTTAAGGCTAGGGAGGGCTTCTGCCAGTCAACTCCATCTTTACTTTCTAGGAAATCTCTTTCTTTACATGACATTAACTCAGTCTGATGTATATGTCTTGTTCTCATCTATAGCTCAGTCTCATTTCTATCTGCTCCTCCATGCTCTAGGTTTCTGGTAAAACCTAAAAGCAGAATAATTGCTCTCAAATTTGCACATTTGCTTCTGTTTGTTTTTGGGTTTTTTTAATGCCAATTCATAATCACTGTCTCTTCATCATTTCCAATTCTTTCATTTAACTCATCTCAAGATCCTCTCTTTTCCAGTGGGGAAATGCTGCATTCTTTCCCCCTTTTTAAAGAAAGCTTTTCCAGCAAAGAATGCTCCATTTTTTGGCCTGCTTTCTGTTCAGCACAATCTGATCACTTGTTGGTGAGGATTACCTGGAATATTTGAATTCCATCCCATCTGAGAGGCAACACACACTCAGGATGCCTCAGAGGGAAAACTTGACTCATCTCTAGCAAAAAGGCAGCAAAACTCATTTAAGCTTGAGGAAAAGCTAACCAGGGCTCATCTCTGTGCTATGCTGTTATTTAGACTCCTAATTAAGTGGTATTTAACTGTTTTCCTAAGGCACGGTGTCTGTGTGTATAGAATCATGGAATGGGTTGGGGTGGAGGGAGCTTAAAGCTTACCCAGCTCCAAGCCCTGCCACGGGCAGGGACACCTTCCACTAGAGCAGGTTGCTCCAAGCCCCTGTGTCCAACCTGGCCTTGAACACTGCCAGGGATGGGGCAGCCACAGCTCCTCTGGGCACCCTGTGCCAGCGCCTCAGCACCCTCACAGGGAAGAGCTTCTGCCTTGTATCCAACCTGAGCTTCCCCTGTTTCAGTTCAAACCCATCACCCCTTGTCTTATCGCTACAGTCCCTGATGCAGTTAATTATTAAAATTAGTATAATAATAATTATTAATGTTCATATACTAATTGTATTATTAAGTTGTGCAACCATTGTCAGGTTTATTTGAATTTGGCTGAAATATTAAACTCTCAAAGTTATTGAATTTCTATAACATCTGTAAAAAAGGCAAGTGTGGAGGTTCTATGGATGTCCTCATTGAGGGAAAGTAATCGCCATTCGGGAATGCTCCTTACTAGGATTTGGAGAACCATACAAGACATTTATTTTGGGAACCAGGCTTCCTGAGTTTCACTGCTCACAGAGCTCCTCACTGAACACATACCTCCCTTTCTTGCAGTTGCTGGATTCAGGAGAACACAGTGTTTTACATCTCCGTTGTGGCCTACATCTTCTTCATATTTTTGATCAACACAGCCATGTTCATCACTGTTCTCCTTCAAATCCACTCCGTGAAATCAAGGACACACAAGAGATCCAGGTTCTGGAAACAAGGTTTTCTCCACGACCTCAAAAGTGCTTTCAGCCTGATGTTCCTTTTGGGCTTAACTTGGGGCTTTGTCTTTTTTGCCTGGGGAGCAGTGAGGATATTCTTCTTGTATCTCTTCAGCATCTTTAACACCTTGCAAGGTAATATATGACTGGAATACTGTCACAAATACAACCGTTCAGGGCCATGGAATAGAAATAAATGTGTATCATCATGCAGTTCCAGCACAGGGAAGAGGTTATGTGGCTTTTGTGTTACAGCGTTTAGCTATTTTAATGGGAAAGCTCCATTGCAGTGGGATAATAGTGGTGTTTACATAGTGTTGCTGGGATAGATACACCGTTAAAGACACAAACTCGTGCCTGTGAAACATGGGTCCCAATAAATGCATCGTTTCAGGATGGCACAATCCTTTTTATCTGGGCACAAAAATGGTTGATAGAACCTACAGTGACTTGCAGGTTATTTTGTTACCAAATCTGCAGAAAGCTCTTCCCATCACCCTTAGATATGCACAAAGGACTTGGTGTAATTGTGGCCCAGCTTCCACCTATCTCTGCCCATACATAACCTCCTAGTAACTGAGTGGCATGCAGAAAGTTTGGAAAAGGGGCAGCAGGTTGGAGAATCCACCTGAAACCCTCTGAATTCTCTTCTCACTTCTTTAGGGTTCCTCATCTTTGTGTTTCACTGCCTAATGAAGGAAGAAGTAGTGAAGCAGTGCCGAGTGCATCTCTGCTGGGGGAGACATCGGCTGAGTAACTACTCTGGTAAGCACTGAGGGGCTTTGTTTAGCTTCAAGCATAAGTCTTCTCCTGCTACAGCCTTTCTGCATTGCACTGGATAATTGTTCTTTAATAGGTCTTTATCCTCTTCCATTAGCTGCTGATGTGATGTGATGGGGGGGTGACAGCATGAAGTAAAATGTAGATTACCAAAAGAGGCTTTAGCTTGGTCTTGCATTCAGTGTTCCCTGATGTGAGCTATGATTTTGATGGCTTTCCAGTCTTCATAAAGCTGAGATTCAGAGATGTATGCACGATATTGGACATAGCAGTAGCTACTTTTTATGTGCAGGAGCTGGCATTGCTAAGCCTGGGAAAAAGGGGGTATAATCGCTGTCTGGCTGAGGGGTGGTTGTAGAGAAGAGACTCTTCTCAGAGGTGCTCAGTGAGAAGACAAGAGGCAAAGGACACACATTGCAGCTATGGAAATTGCCATTATTTATAAGGAAACACATTATTTCATGTCCTGTTTTCATCTTAACCACAACATTTCAGAGGGAGAGTAGTTAAATAGGTGACAGTGACCTGACCAACCTGATCCAACTCTGGGCACTCAAAGGTGCCCCAAAGGTCCCTTTCAACCTAAAATACTGTAAGATTCTGCTATGTACCAGCTCAGCAAGAAATGACGAATGCTGTGGCTTGTTCTGGGCTACCCCAGCAATGCTGATTCTGCACAGAAACTTCAGTACCTCTGTGTGCCTATCAAAAGTAGTTGACATTATGAATGGGTATAACAACTGGTTTAGTGTGTACCTCCTGTCTTCTTCAATATGGCCTTATCCAGATTAGATTGGGTCCCTAAAGGGGAAATAGAAGACTGGATTGCTGGTACAAGTGTGCCA